CATCGCCAAAGTAAAGTTCATCGATGCACTTGTGTTGAGGTAATCCACATCGAGAGCTTCCTTTTTCTGGTCGAGGTAAGTGTTTAAGTTATCATAAACAACGCAAATAGCGATTTAAGATTGCAACATTGGGGTTGCTTAAACCGGAAATCGTATGACATTGTCTTCCGATTTCTATGAATTTCAGTGTCAATACTAACATTCTTACGAGTAGATGCTTTTTTCAATTTATTACATGTGTGCAGTGTAGAAACTCATGTCTAAACAAATCGGGTTAGACGTTATAGTGGCCGGGCTTGGCCGGCGCCGACGAATGATCTATACAGTATATTACTCTACCTATCAAGAGTTGAGTTGAATTGATGCGGCTGCTGGTCAAACCCCAGCACACTTAGGCCAATAGGTCCATTGTGATACCGTTGAGGTTCCTGCCTTCACCTTCTGAAATGATCTAAATGGTTTGTGCCTTATAAAGGCAACGAGTTTCCCACTGTTCACTGAGGCCAACTCAGCGAGACAGCTGAAGAAGTGTTTCCCAAGAACCTTGTGTCGCGCGCATGTCAAAGATGGCCAGCGGCAGAGCTAGTACTCGTTGGTCTCCTCCTCTTCTTCGTCCCTACAGCCGCGGCATAAATCGTTATAGCAAAAGCCCATCCTAATCCCTTGCAGCCACATTAAACAGTGTCCAGTTATTGTACTCGTCGCTATGCTAATGAAGAACCGATCCAGAAGGCTAAGATGTTTAGATTTTTTCGCGTCCAACTTCGGCCATAGCTGTCTGGTCACGTTACACGTGATCTCGTTTAATCATCGTGAGTCAGCTTCCCTGGTGAAGACCAGTTTAAGCATGTACTGATTCATGGGCAGAGATACCGCTGATACTGCTCTTCCATTGTCCGAAGATCCTGATAGAATCTCTCATCGTGCTGCTCACTAAAATCACCCAGAGTTTGTGGAAGGAAGTGGATTTTTATGCTCATGTTGCACCCTAGCTCTTGCAAGTTCAACAAGCTTGACGTAATCGTCTGATTACTAATTATCCAGGAAATATACATATATATATACATATATATATACATATATATATACATATATATATATATATATATATAATTGGCGCTTTGTAATCGCTGAAGCGATTTTTCGGCCGAGCTTCTCCTCTCATTTGTGGTTTTGCGTCTTGATATTTTTCCAACAAATGCAGGGACCTACAGTTTATACTAAGCCGCCTCCCAACGGCTGCTGTTTTTTTTTTTTTTTTTTTTTTTTTAATAAAAGAAAGGCTCGTAGTCAAAATGGATTCCAATCTTCAGATTCAACAACACCAGCTTTAAATTTTCTGTACTTAATTCAGAAAATTTGTGTGAAAGAAAATTTAAACATTCTGCAAACTTATCTCAATAGTCTTCACAAAATGTGTCATTATGCCGAGCTTAATATGAAGTGGTGGAAGTATGATGCTGTCTCGGCTCTTCCTGCACTGGCCAAGCATTCTGTGACCAAAGGTGCTGTTTGTCACGGCAAGGGAACTTCGTGTATCCCTTTTGTTGACCTAACAGAAAGTTAAAGTCACCGAATAAGCAATAGGTGTATGTAGGTCCGTATTTATTACTTACCTATTTTAAACTTCTTTTGCTGCAATCTATGAAGAGACGCCAATAACTAGGTTGGTACTTTTTTAATCCTAATTGTTGCAAAACACCGCCAACATAGTTACAAAAAACTAAATCCCCCTCTTGAGTAAAAATAAGAAATTTTTCTCGGGCACGATAAAATGATACTTTGGTTTCTGGGATAAGCAAATTCTTTTAAAAGAGATGTTAAAATTTCAGAAGCTGCTTCCGTTAAGTTCGGATCTCTTACTAAGTCATTTAGTTCTTTCTGATTAAATGCTTGAGGTTCTTGGTTGAATTTGTAGTCTGGATCAGAGCAATCGACGGATTTCGTTCACAGGGATTTGCATCATTATCAGAAGATTTAGTTGTGCTGGGCTGTCCCTCTCGTGATTTTAATTTAGGTCATTGAACAGAAGATAATTTACGAAATGACCACTAATTTCGATTTAAAGGATTAAATTCTCTTTATTTTCACAACGCAGAATTAGCAATCGTCTTGATAGTTTCAAGGTTCCCGACAAATCATGGCCACTGGACGTACTACACATTTATGGCATACAATATGAGGAAGCCATTTCGCACAATTTCATTTTTAAATATTGATGATATGCAGTTTTAAAAAAATCCGATATAAGTTTTCGATATTTTGCAAATACATATTCACCCCAAATCTAGCATAAACAATCGGATTTAAACACACAACGGTTCGTAAAGAAGCCATAGCAAGAACAACAATTAAAAATGCAGATTCAGGTAAAAATAGTAATTGAGATTAGTTAGCAGTAACTCAGAAACAAAAGCTGTTCAAGAAAAATGTTCTTCTTTTTGCTGTGCAATTTTATCATTGAATGAAAAATGTATTTCATACAACACAAACACATGCGGTGCAGCCGGATCAGAGAAACTAGTACTTAACACCCTGTGATTCTTCGCAACTGGATGCCTCCCAGTATTAAAGTCCTGTTGGAGAGCAATGGGGGATATCTATGAGCTACTCACATGTAATTCGGTGTATCCATAGCTTAACAAAGGCAATCAACCATCCGATTTGGAGGCATCGAAACTTTTAAAAATAAATAAATAATAATTCTTGACCTTCAGAGTTTTCGTAAATACATTTTTTAATTAGTAAAAACAAACAATTTTCTTTTTTAAAATGTATATTTATACATGAACTTACATACATACTTCAATATAACATAGTAATATTTAGTGGATGGAATGTACAATTTTAATCATGATCCTTATCTTACAACTCTTAATTATCGATACAAAATGAACTTAAACAAAATTTCTTTAAAATATATAAAGTTTGTCAAAAAATCGCAACAATTTAAACAATGCAAAAATTTTAATCAAAAAAAAAACTTAACTTAAAAATGTCATTCAGTCTCTAGCCCATTTTGTTGTACAAATTTTAATTATAATATTTTATGTATGTATATGTCGTATTATTTCTTTCTACTATGTGAAATTATGAAATAATAATTAATGATCCCCTGCAAAATTTGCTTATGTTCTATAAAGAATTTCGGCTGTCGAACCATGACATACGTACAAATGTTTATTTTCAGTATTACATAATAACAGTAGTGAAATAAAATACTCTCCATCGCAATATTATAGCGCCGCACTCAATACATCTGAATAATTTGCCTCAAGTGCATAAGAGAAGACCAAGATTGGAGTCAACTTCTCCGATTAATGTTTTCTCTTGATAGCCGAAAATGAGTGAGATAAAATTTTTTAATTTATTTTGTTTGATTACGCCTCTCTAAGCCAATAATTTCTGATAAAATGTGTTTTAATCTTCATAAAAAGGATCTAAGATCCCTTCAAATTCTAATTTCGGTTGTGGTTCATAAATGGCAAGGGGCACAATTAGCAACTGTGAAAAGTTTCCGCTTTACTATTTTTCTTTTCGAACAAAAAATGCATTGACGTGCATTAGTTTATATTCAGTATCTCCTAACCTTGATATCTTGGAAAATATTATATTTTATATTTGTAATATAAGTAAATGAATATTGGAACTAGTCTCCGCAAGATATTTTAATTTAATTGTAGAAATAAAAATTCAGAGTCTGGCTGCACTATTTTTTCTGGTGGATCACACCACTTCCGTATTCTGTTTCGACAAAGCTTTTGCAACAAAAATTCCACAAAAGAACAAACGGAAAAACGCAACTGTTCTGGATCATAGATCCATAGCCATCTTCACCGACTGCTTTAAACTGGATGGCAAAGCTAGTAGTGGAGTTTACTCCGATCTTCTTGGCTATAGATTTAAGTTAAAGACTTACCGACCATTATAGCATATTTAAAGCAGAACTATCCGCGATTATGGAAGCGGCTTCACATTTCTCTTTTTTCGTTTCTCTCTAATACGATATTCCAAACTCTGACAGCCAGGCAGCCATTAAGTAATTAATGCAATCATAGCACCTCAAAGGTGGTAACAAAATGCAGAGGGATCGTAAACAAATTCTCGACTGTACACAAAACGTCTGTGGTTTGGGTCCGTGGTCATAGAGACATACCAGGGAACTGCATACCCGACTAACTGGACAGAAAAAGAGGCAATCACATGACGTCAGCCTACCGCTTTCCTCAGCAAAATATCTGCTAAGGCTAACCCTCCCCAGTAGAGTCAACTGCAGATGACAGAGTGAAGTCACGTTTAATACAAATCTTACCATTATTCGAGGTAAACAGAACTAAGGTTCTACTCCTTTGAAACTTTATTACTATAACCACAGGCTTAATAACCCGACACTGTCTTATGTAGACTCATGATAGAGGGATGGGCAGGTTTTCGAACGACTTCTGTCGCAAACTGTAGAGACATAGATGAGGAGAAATAGGTGAAACATTACATCTGTCACTACCCAGCTTTCAATACAGTCCGTTATTATTAAGTTTCACGGAAATTTCTTCTTCGAATTACCTTGCAGAGCTTGCATCGGTAAGCATTATTAATCTCATGAATTTCATAAAAACCTCAAGTTATTGGAGCATTTGGAAAGGTAAAAGCAATCTCAGGGCTAACATACATATGAAAAGGTTCCGTGATCAAGCAGCCTGCTAAAATAACTAAGCTAACTTTCAGAACGTCAAAATTTATGATTTTTACATGCACCTGACGACACCTTTACCTTTAAATGAAATTATTAAGATAGATTTGGTGAAGCTAAAACATTGCGATGGAGTGCGGTAGGTAAACAATCGAGCGATCAAATACAAAATCATGAAAGATAAAAAAGTGCTTTTGTTCGAAACAAATTTTTGTTAGAAGAAATACAAATTTTCATAAGAGAAACTAATACATACATATGTATAAGTATTTGTCCTTTTGTCTTGCCATTCAAAAGACTTACTTTCTAATTTCTTAGTTACAGAACCCATTTCTCATTATTTGTTCACATTTTCATTCTCATTTTATATGTGCTTTTTTAACATTATTATTCCAACTTTCGCCATGCAAATACATACATACATTTCTTTGCATAAAAGCATCCGTCTTACGCCAGACACAGAAGCTTCTTCCATAGTGGTGGTTTTGGTGTGGGTGGCAGCGTTGTAGGCGACAGTGCTTCCCATATTGCCGTGTCGAAGACTTCTTTGACTTTGTCCTGCAATTGCGATGATTTAAGGTAGAGAGTTATAAATTTATATATAGGTACATATGTATGTATTTGTAAATGTAAATGTTACTTAAATACTAAATATCTATGATTTGAATAATTTTTTCTTTTATTTTTATAGAATGGCACAAGCTAGACTACGTACATATATAAAAACACACAGACAAATATGTAAAATGTACGCATGTATATTTACTCACCTGCGTGGCTGATGAAGTCTCAATATATTTTGCGTCAACACTCGCTGCTAAATCCCAGGCGTCAGCGTATGAAATTGGCCTTTCTCCACAAAGCTGTTCACATCCATGCAAAAAATGCGCAAAATGCAGAATGGGAATCAATTCAAGCATGCAAATACACACATTCAAACGAGACCAAACCATGGGCCAGGACAATGGTTTTTTCCAACAGTAGATACAAATAGGCGTTTTGTTGTTGTGGAGTATAAAAGAAATACAAATTTGGATTTGTTGAAAATTTCGAATGTCGATGTAAATAAATGTGTCATTTGTTGTTGTGGAGATTCCATCAGAGCATGTGAAATAATAAAGTAATATTAATAAAATATATGTATATATGTATGTATGTACACAAGTCTATTTCAATAAAATTGCAAATTTGTAATTGAGATAGTGATTTTGTGTTTGGAACAAATACATGCTACGTTAGAAGCGGTTTCAAGCAATACTATACAAATATATTAAATTTAATATAAAACTATCAAGGGGTAGTAAGGCCACTGTAGATACTTTTTTATTGGCTAAAAATATTCTTTAAACCTTTTAGAACAAAAGGTCTTATACGTGTCCGACATCGTCTTCATTGAAACTACGAGCTCTTTTATCGAGCGCACTGATATATATCGTAGGTCAAGTACAAAGTTCGTTCGGTTTTTGTCTAAGAGCTGGCGTTATTGTCCATTTTACAATTTTTCTTCGATTTTCAGCGGCTGAAAAAATTAATTTAGTTTATAGGCCCGAAACTGTAAACGAACGTGTAGTAAAAAAAAGAGGTTTGCTAGATTCCCTTACCGGTAATTTCGATGTCAAATATGCACCTCGCGTAGGAAGGCCGGTCGTCCGAAAATTGCGCTAAAATCATGGAAATAGTGGAAACAGACCGTCACGTGAGCACTTATTTAATTGCTGAGGAACTAAAGATAAACCAGAAAACCGTTTGGAACCATTTGCATAACCTTTAATTCAAAAAGAAGGTCGATGATTGGGTTCCACACGAACTAACGCAAAAAAAAGGTGAAACACCGAATTTCCATCGCGAATCGCTGCTGAATCGCAACAAAATCGACCCGATTCTGAAGCTGATTGTGACTGGCGATGACAAATGGGTCACTTACGATAAGATCGAGCCCAAGCGGTCGTGGTCAAAGCTCGGGGAAGCGGCCCAGATGGTGGCCAAGACCGCATTGACGGCCAGAAAGGTTTTGCTGTGTGTTTGGTGGGATTGGCAAGTTATCATCTATTATGAGCTGCTAATATAGCCAAACGCTCAGTTCGGCCCCATAGTCCGAATTGTGTTCCATAAATCCAGACAAGGCCAGGCCACACACGTCTTTGGTGACGCTACAGAAGCTCCAGGAGCTCGGATGGAAGGTCCTAATGCACCCACTTTATAGTTTATAGTCCGGACCTGGAACCAAGTGATTACCATCTTTTCCTGACCAAGGCGAACGCGCTTAATGGTGAGAAGGTGGCCTCAAAAGAGACCTGAGAAAATTGGCTCTCCGAATATTTTGCCAATAGGGACGCAGCCTTCTACAAGAAGGGTATAATAAAGTTGGCAACAAGTTTACGAACCAAAACGGCGCATATTTGACTTAAATCAGACAAATGTAAGCAAAGTTATCATATTTTGAAAAGTCAATAATAAAAAAACCGAATGAGCTTTTTACTTGGCCTAATATTATGTATGTCTCAAAAAAACATTTTTCTCGTATCACATTTTTTGAAATTGGCTCGCATCATAGCTCAAAGAATTTTCAATTGGCTTTTTTCTTACGTCTTTTTAATCCTACTTCAAAAAGAATGACCTACGAGATTATTAATAACCTGTATTTTGATCGAAAAATTAGTTTTTCTCTCAAATACCCTTACGTCATTCTCTAGTTATTTTGATGTAGATAAAGAAAAAAATTGTATTCTGTTGCAGATTCAATTTTGCCGTGGAGCTCCTAGTACAACAATCACTTTATAAAAATATCCATATCGAAACACTATAATTGAGTTGTCTTCCTTTCCACATAAAAAACAGTCTGGAATTTTTTTTTTTTTTGGCTCTTACAGTGGCCTTACCCCTTAAGCATACGTACACACTTATGTACAGTGTTTTCCAATACGAGTTATTATTTTGATATTCAAAAAAAATGACATTTTTTTGAAATAACGGATCAGATGTACACGTATATTTCAATTTAAATAGAAATTCATGCCATTAACGCTGGTAAACCCTATCATCTAAATGTCCACCACGACAACGCTTATAGGACCGAAATGGCTCCTTTATGCCCTCAATAGCTTCACGAATTCCATCTCTGAGGTATTTAATCGACGTTGGCTTCATTGTGTAGACCACATCTTTCACGTGGCTCCAAGGCAAGAAGTCGTAAGCTGTTAAATCACAAGATCGCAGTGGCCAATTGCGATCACCATTCCGAGAGATAATCTCTCCCATAAAAAATACTTTCTAACTTAATTTGCCATAGAATAAAATACCACGTAACAAATATTAAATACTTCAATGAATGCATATACGAGTACATACATACATCTGGTCATATATATATATATATATATCTGTAAGTACTAATTCCTTACCTTTAATCTGTTTAAGACATGAGTGTCGTTCCGTAAATCCGCTTGTGTTCCGACAAGTATTAGAGCTGCTTTCGTCTTAGCGAACTTCGGTGCCCACTTCGTTTTAACGGAATGAAATGTTTCGGGCTTTACAACGGAGAAACACAACACAAACACATCACTATCTGGATAACACAATTGTCTTAGCTTGTCTAATGTATCCTGCCCTGCTGTATCACAAATAGTCAAATGCACGAGACTTTCATTGACCATTACATCAGCTGAAACAGAAATTTTAAGCAAGAAAACACGTTAATCGTAAAATTCGTTAAATTTATATTTCGACTTGTAATACCTATAAAATAAACATTTTTTGTTTTTAAAATAGATAAGGTAAGTCAATCTTAAACAAACTGTATTTAAAATTCATTGAATGATCCGTTCATGTCAAAATATAGAATTGACTTCAAATCAATTTCATACTTGTAGCCATATTTAAATTCGCTTGGAGAGGCGTCTGAAAGTTCTGAGACTCTTGCTGATGAAATATTCTAAAGGCTTGGACTACAGACTGATTGAAACTTCTCTGACCTTTATATATGAAATTTATGTCTTTACAACCGTTTATATACTATTACTTTTAACCAATAGAATATTCATCTAAGAAGTGATTTTTTTTTTAAATATGTGTCTGATAATTTTATTCTAAAATAGTACCCGATAAAGAATATCTATTCTTTGGGTGCTAAAAATTAGATGAAAGCCCAATTAAGAATTTGTGGAATGATCTCTAAAAATTATTATTACTTTTTTTTATTAAAATAAAGGATTTTCCAATAAAAGAAGTTATTTTGGATAGCCTGTTATTCTGGCAGATGTCACTTTTGAAGGGGTAATTTTTAGACATTTAGCATGTAAAATAGAACGATACGCGCTTTTCAAAATTCACTATAAAACTTGTGAAAACTGGGCAGAGACCTTTCGTAAAACTAAAACATGTTATTTATGCTATAAGTTTTTAGTGAGCGAATTGAATATTTTTGTTATACAACAAAGCAAAATGGTAGAAGTGGCATCTGTTTCATAGATCACAGCATCTCCTCATCAGACTTCTTTTGGCAGGGATCAAACCAATGGATCCTTACTTAACAGGCCAGTACTCTACCACTTCTGGGGCCACAATACGGAAACTAGTGGATCAAATGGAGCTGTTGGTGATGTTAAGAATAAAACACGAGCAAGTCACTCAAGAACAACTGGAGCTACTGCAGCCCAAAGTGTTGAAAAAAAGTCCGGTTTGTCCATTCCTCGTCATTCTTTGGAGTTGGAAACTTCACAAATATCACCACACCGTACTCCGCATAAAGAATTGGTTCTTAAGACTCATAAAGTTCAGTTAACACGAGAACTCAAGATGGCCGATCATCAAAAACGTCGTGTTCTTCTTAAAGGGGTCGTTGACATGCATACAAATTATCCCGAATTTCATAGAAAAATCAACCAGATTCGTCAATAAGAAAAACTGTGGCACCAGAGAATTAGAAAACACAGGGTTTGTTATTGAAAGGCCCCTCTATCCTCAAAGTGTAGCTGTTTGGGGCGGGATTATTAGAACTTGCTTTTCGAAAACGAGGATGGAGCAACAGTGAAAGGATGAAAGTCGGGAGACGACGGAAATTAGGATGATATTGTTTTCCGTTATTAATGGCATATGTTTTCCCTAAGGCATTGTTGCATGAATTTTTCTTTGAATAAAATCAAAATAACACCTCTTTTTGGAAAGCCCTGTAGTGGTTATGGTATAAACTACCCTAAGAGTTGTACTCCAGAAGATGAACAAAAGAAACTGAATAAAACGAAAGAGTTTTTGTACAAAGTACAAAGGGTATGAACAGAAGCTCACCACTACATCACCGATATGGTCAGGAAAATGATATATAAAATAAATAAATGGAGAGCCTAATTCCCAAACCCGTAATAGGATCGATAAATGCGAACGAATGTGAAGGTTATACTACCTGTGTACTTCTTAACTTAATGGCACAATGTATCATAAACGCCGCCAGGACAAACGGTCTATAAGGAGTATTAAAAAGCACCCAGATTTGGGAAAATGCGCTCAAGACCTTTGCACCGGCTTGCCCATCATTACTTGTTCGCGAATTTTCTCTATATTCGCCCGACATTGCTCCAAAATATTCGAAAATACAGAGAACCTCAAAGAGCCGTCGTTTAACAGACGTCAATGACACTGAAGTAGCATCGCGGAGAAGCTATCTTAAAGATCGAATTTTGAGAGCGTTCCAAGATGTAAACGAAGCGCATAACCTAAGGTGCGATTTTTTTTCAAAGTGACAACATCATTATAGACCAACAAAATATTTTTTTCAAAAAATAAGTTCCCGTTATTTTATTAACATACCTTATAGTATATATAATAAACAAAATCGAATCACAAAAACATATTGCGCAAAAGCATCTTATCTTTTTGATATAAAGTAAACGACTTATTGATATTTCAGCCTCGGCCATGGCTAGAGAACGCATTTTTTATCTTTTCTTAAAACGGAATAAGTGAGTGTTTGAGTTTAACGGTCTGACCCATATGGGATTAAATGCACTTTCATCCTCTAATGTAAATACATAAAATACTCAGCAAAATTTTTTCCTAAATTACAAACCATGCCAAAAAATATATACATATTTAGAGGTATAGTGACTGAAGTTTAACACACTACCACGCTTACATCATTTTCTTCTTCCATCAATGCCATTATGCGTTATTGATGAAGCTCTTTTCTTTCATTGATTTCCACAATGCCGAATTGTACTTTCATTTCGGGTTTGCTGTAGTTAAAATGCTTTTATATCTGTATAGTTGTGCAATGGCAACCCCGGAGCATTGATAACAAAAGCACTTTTCATACGAAAAAAATTTAAATTTCCTTTTCTGCAATGGACTGCAACACATTGTACTTCGTTACAAAGGAAAATTTAATTTAACACTTTTTACTTGTAATAACTGACAGTGGCAAAAGACTTAAAATCCATTGCTGAATTAAGAACTTCGTTGTAGGGACTTATTTGAAATTACATTGATACACCAAGCTAGTCACAATTATTTTCAATTGGCTATACCAAGTGCACTTTCATACATACATAATTCAATAACTCGGATAGAAACGTAGTGAGGAACCTCTAAAGGTTGAACACAAGCTATTTGGATAGAAAACCGCTTGAAAATGGCATCATCAATACCAAGAGAATTTGTACAATGCTGTGAAGAAATTCAATGCATGGCGGAGAATTTTCGAATAAGATTTTAAATAAAAGAGAAAGGAAGTAATAAAATGTGTGGTTTGAAGATCATAATGAATAATATACGAGTATGTGATTTGAAAGTACAATCAATGCTGGAAGGTATACATAATATAATTGGCATTTGCATCCGCTGAAGCGATTTTCGGCCGAGCTCCTCCTCCGATTTTTGGTATGTGTCTTGATGTTTTCCAACAAATGGAGAGACCTACCGTTTAACCTAAGCCACCTCTGATTATTTATTTAATTTTTTGAGGAGCCATTATTTCATGTTAGAAAGATATTCGGAGGGCTTACCATTTCCTGCCGAGGGGTGACCACAATTAGAAAATTAATTTTGATTTTTTATTTAAATTAATCTTCTATAACTTATGAATGTTGGTCGCTTTCAAATTTTGTTTTTTCAATTTGCATTGGTTGATGATTGGACCTGATTTATTACGGTTAAAGTCCACAAACAAGGACCAAACTCTACAAGTTGCTTATCGTTCTGCTAAATTGTGCGGAGGCATGGACGATAGCAATATCTGATGTTTTCTCGAGAGAAAGGTTTCGCGTAAGATTTATGGTTTTCTACGACTTAGGAAAGCCGAATACCGCAGGCTTGAACAACAAGAAACAGAGGCTAAGTCATGTGGTACGGATGAATAGGTATATTCCAGCTTTGAAAGTTTTCGATGTTTTCCACGGAGGTAGCAAAGGAAGAGGAAAACCTCCTCGCCGCTGAGAAGACCAAGAAGAACATTCAAAGGAAATTACCTGAAAAAATATTTATTGAATTAATGTTCCCCGGTTTCTGGATTGACATAAGTTCGAATAATTTAATTTATAACGTTTGTTTCAAAATATCAGGTCAATACGTGACATAAACAAAAATGTTACAAAGCTCGAACTTGAAGAACAAAAAGAAGAAAATCATAAAATTTCTTTATTACAGCAAACAAGTCGAATAGATGCTTCATTATCCAGTCATTTTGTTTCTCGAATGAACCTCGTTAAATCCATGACTTTAACGTCGGCAGAAGAGATAGGCTATCGTTTCTTCCTCATCGTTATTGCAGCTTCTGCAGGTTGTAGTATTATCCTTAACCTTAACGGGCCTGTTCGTATGTTAATTTCTTGAGAAGGCAAGGCGTACCAATGCGTTCTTTATCGAGAAAAATCTGATTGGTCGCACCTTTCCTAAAAAGTTCAATCACCATACAATTTCAATCGATGTCACTTTGACCAGAGAACCACGTGAGGGATAATAGTCTGTTCTGGTAGAGATCGGCGACAGTCAAGCATTATATTGGAATTTAATGTAAGCGACTACTGACTAGTTGTCGCCGACAGTGAAGATCATTATATTTATCCGATTTGCATTGCAGCCTTCATGACAGGAGATATCCCTGTTTGGAAAATACGGAAAAGAGTTCCCTCTAAGGAAGCTTCGCCAACTCGGCACCCAAGCTTTGATCCCACCGTGCATATTTGGGTAGGAAATGTTGGTTGCTTTTAGTTGAGCTTCAATCAAACTTAATCTTCCATACTTATAGAGCTCGCTATATATTTATTGTAAACTCCAAAAGCTGTATTCGGAACACCCTTTGGCTATATCCGTTTTTATATATGTATGTATATCCTTTTCCGTGGTAGCCTTAAAGACTTTATTGACTATTCAACGTAATTGGCTTTATGTGGATGTACATATATTATATATATATAGATGTATATGGATAAACGGTCTTTTAAGTATTAAATCATACATACATGCAAACATACACGCATACCAACAAACATTCAGAATATAGTTCTTAAAAGCAAAGCTTCTGATATACTTAGTGAATGACTGGGAGCCAATGACTTGAATTTGTGTGCATGACACACATTGCATGCGGATGCTTCAACAAAAGGTACGAATTAACACACATACATGTGTGTACATAAACGAATATCTACATGCACGCACACAAGGGCGACAGAAGGGCTTATTTAGCAAAAGCGCGTTGACACACTAAAAACGTGGAGGTGCTTCATAGGCCATAAATTTCCGCAACAACAACAGCAGCAGCAGCAGCAGCGATAATATTGCCTGACAGCGAATAAACGCTGTTATACGCAATGCAGTAGTGCTGGTAGATGTGCGAATGTCCTGTGTATAGACGCGTTAGTGAGTGCGCCACTCGCCGACGCTTGCCTTGCAGCGCAGTGATATGTGAGCACATCATAATTCAATCATTTGCAGTGGCAGTTAGCGCTCGACTGAATGCACCACTCTATGTATAAATATGCTTCTGTATGTAAATTAATATATATGTATAGCTACATGTCTGGGTGTGCAAAAGTGTCACGTATAGATGTATACGAGTATGTTTGTATATATAACCACATTTGAGATATGACTTTCGTCATGTGCTCCAATACTCTTCTCCGGCTAACTAAGCCAATCCACAGTCCATAGACTAGCGTCGCACGAGGCCTGCCTGCCGCCATCATATTGGCAGTTACACCGCCAGCCATCGCTCCTTAATTCAACGAGTTTATTAGTGAGTCAGCACTGTTTGAAGTATGAAAAATGCGTGTATTTGAGTGGTGCGCTTTTCAATTTTTCATTCATAAAAATATCTATGTATGTTTGTATGTATAGGTGGTAACGAGAAAAGAGGAAGTAGCACGAAAGTGGAACGAAAACAAAGTAACGACGAAAAGAAAAAAATTATTAAAAAAATGAGGAAATAAATATAAAAGAAGTAAGAAAAGTAGGCATACAAATAAAGTCGTTATGTGTTTAAGCTATGAGCATGAGCATGGAAATCATTTTGCCAAATAGAACAGGAAGATGGAATAAAAAGCTTTCTAAAAAATTAGTTATTTTTCAGTTACTAACAATTACTTATATAGAGAAGTGTATATGAAGCTTCTCAAAAGAGCTTTGACGAAAATGATGCCAAATTTTTTTAATCAAAAATTTTAAATTTAAATTTGCTTAAAATTTAAAAACAGATTAGAACATAACTCTTCCAATCAGTTGGGAGATTTTGCATAATAATTGTTTCTTTGTAGAAGTGTGAAGTATGCAAGATCCATATTCGTATGCCACATATTTTACACGAATTTTTGAAGATAAAAAGGAAATATTTGAATTTATTTCGAATTTCGAAACAACAAAGTTCATATACGTATACCACTTAAGATACAAAAAGAAATCCTGGTTTATTAAAATTTAAATTTTTTTGAATATCCTCTTTATTTTAAAACACCACGTAAGCGACGTGATATCGACTTATCTTTTCCCAACTTGTACGTGAAGCTGGGGTCGAATCGAACGTTCGGTGAACGTATAACTCGTAACGAAAATTTAAGTATTTGGAATTACACCATACGTGAACGTATACTCTTTGTCGTAATTAGGTATGATGCGTTCGGTAAAGCCACAACGTTAACGAGTATTTCGATTACAAAGCTGTGCTAGTAATCAAGCAAGCAATAAAAATGTAATTAATTTATTTGAAAATACAATATTTTAAAAGATATTATAGAATTAAAAAGCAATATTATTTTAGGACAAAGGCGAATAAAATTGACGTGACACAAAAGCAGTTCATCGCTGAATTCATGCAGTCACATCCAAGGCAAACGCTTTGACCGCCAGTCAAAATGTCGAAGAAAGTGTACAAACATGAATTTTCATTTGAATCGAAATTTTTTTCAACGTTATATCTGTTTTTTTAGAAGGTAAAACTTACAAAAAATTCAAAATATGATCGGCGTTAAAATGATTTCAAATGAGTTGAAGTTGAGTTGAGTTGAAGAAAGTCCGCTATCTCGAAGACAGAATTATATACCAGAGGAAGATGCAATAGTAGTGAAGCTGAAGGAAAAGTGCCGTTAAAAAAAAGTGTCATATTATTAACAGATTGATCATTGCGTATGAACATTTTGAATAGCCCACTTAAGAGTGGCGGAATACTCGTATTCTTTGGTCCGACGAAAGTAAAATTTATGTTTTTGGCGGAAAAGTTGCAAAACAATACGTTAGTTGAAAACCCAATATTGAATATGAATATCTTTAAATACCGTTAAGAATGAGCGATCGAGTATAATTATTTGTGGCTGAATTTCATATTACAGTGCATGCTTCATATACCACGTAACTAGCATAACAAATAATCGAAAATGTGTCGATATATGTTTTATAGTTTCGGTGTTGCCTTCTGCGCGAGAAGGGATGCCGATAAAGTGGCTCTGCCAGCAAGATAACGTCCCGAAACATACTACCTAATTGGCAAAAGAATGTTTTCTGGCAAAAAAGAACTTGTGGTGAAACATTAAACCCGCAGATTGGCATGCAAAGCCGGCCAACAACAACGATATTTGTCGCATGTAAATGATATTTTAATATTGATTTATATTGCGTTTTAAGTCTAAGTATTGTATTCCGAAATAAAGAAAGCTAATTTTGAAATGAAATATTCGCAGAAATTTGCAGGAAAAATATTATTATTATTGATACTATCAGATGTAGTAAAATGTAATCCATGCATAAAATTGAAGGCTTTAATTAACATATTTAGAATGATCCAAATTGGGTCAAATATACGTCGTTTAGTTCGATAACTTGTTGCCTTCCCTCTCCCATTGAAGCTCTCGTTCGTATTGGCAAAAAAGTGGCACAGGCGATTTTAACAAACCTCTCTTGAAGCGATTTTACATCAGCAAATTTGTTCCCAAAGGACAGAAACAGATGTTAATCACTTGGTGTCAGGTCCGAAAAAAAAGTAGATGTATGAGAATCTCCCAACCAAGCTCCCGGAGCTTCTGGCGAGTCACTATCGATGTATGTGGCCTGGCGTTTTTCTGATGGAACAAATTCTTCTCCTATTGCCCAAAGCTGACCGCTTCTGGGTGATTGTTTCCTTTAGACGGTCCAATTTTTAACAATACAGTTCCAAGCTAAAAACTTTGCCATAGTAAATAATTGCCTGCCACTCCCACAAAACATACAGCAAAACCTTGATGCGGTTCGCAGATGGAAATTCGGTTCATTATGTGCTAATATGACGGTTGGACTTGACAATGTCTATGATTTTATCGACATTTTTGACAATTGGCCTTCCAGTTCGAAACGGAATCAACTAATCACAAAACTGGCAAAAACGATTTTTTTGCATAAAACGTCATCTTTCCAACGCCAACTAGCGAAACCCGACCGAACTTAAGCAACGCGAGATACAGATAAATAAAACCATATATTGGAAAAATAATGGATTTCTTTTTACCACTACCATATTTTGACCGCAGTTGTAAATGAATTTAACTTTGTGTGCACCAAGCTTGAGGTAGGAGTGTCTCAAAAGACTTTAATAGCAGAGTATTATGAACAAGCAAAGCGCCAGCAAAAATGAAAATCCTGATTATATTAGATATTTAAACATTAAGACCTCGCAGGGCACTACGTCAATTACCTTTCTCGTTTTGAGCAGAGGAAAGTGTGGAAGAGTTTGATAATTCTCCGCAAAAATATATTCAAAGGTTTTCCTGACTATAGTCAATTTGCTAACTCTTAAGGCAGCATGTATTTTTGCAAAAAAAAAAAAAAAAAAAAACCTTAAGTCGTTTGAAATCGCAAACATTGAAGAACTTTTTGAGTAAGACATGGCGTATGAGTAATATAAATTAATCTTATTGTTGATTAAAAAAAAATTAACTTACCCCTGTATATGTCTGATGCCGTTGGTACATGCTCCGTATTAAAACGATTTTTTAAATAACTTAAAATCAAATTAGTCTTTCCCACGGCACCGTCGCCTACGAGCACACATTTAATTGAAGGCGTTTTCAAATCCTTTTGTTGTGTCTTTCTTTGCATCGCCGCGTTAGCTCCGCTTTTCTTTTCTATAACTGAAGAAAATGAAAAAAAGTGTGAATCATTTTGTGCGGAAAAGGAAAGCGAGATTCTTTTTTTAAGAAAAAACATTACAACTAATTAAAATAAGCTTAAGTACAAATTATAAGCTGAGCACTGTAAAGAATTTATTTACTCTTTTACTTATGCCGCGTAATAAAAAGTTTTTTATAAGATTTTTATTCTGTCCTCTTATTCATTTTTATATTTTCCACACGAGTTCTGCTGTTACACTTTAAAACTTTTTAAATTACTGCAATTACCTCTTAATGATCACCGTATACATGTACATATATACAATATATGTATATGTATATTTATTTCAGCGGACCTCCTTTTTGTTGCATGCTTGCATATACATATCTACGTGTTAGTGCACTCTTAAAGTACTTACCTTTGGCGCCACGCTTTGATTTGCCTTTTCGCAGTAGAAACTTCGCGCCTTTATTACTGCCACTGTCACGGGAACTGGCGCTGGTGTCACTGCTTGACTGAAAAAAGAAAAACGATTTAAAATATTAAATTACTTGTAACGCAGTATTCCAAAAACAAAAAACAAGTCAGAAGAATTGAGTTCAAATGGAACCATCCGTTAACTCAATATATTTATGTTTTCAGGTCCAATAACGGGTGGCTTTTACGATACATATAAACATATACGAGGGGATTAACACAAATTCGGTCAGTTGGTAACTTTCAATTTTTTTTTTAATTTAAAAGAAAAAATCCTTTGTACCCTTTTTTTAGTCTTTCTTTCAAATTTTAGAACGATCAGCTAAAATGGAGACGAGAAAACGCAAGATAGCTGAGGACAGGTAAGACCAATTTCACCACCAACGCAAACAGGAATTCGATATGTGATTGTCTTCGGGTTTCGGCGTAATTTACAGCCAATACAAATATTCATTCTTTCAAGACAATTTCTAGGTGGTTCCGAAGATTCCAGATCAGAGTTTTCCCATAAAGAACGATCGCCGAAAAGGCACGAGAAATGATTGCGGACTTGCGGCGAAAAAACGAGTAATTTTATTGTGATCTCTGGAATCGAAGAAATACGTCCAGAAGCAGATTTCTGCTTATTACGAGAAATTATATATCATCTCGTAGCATCTCGTTACATCTCTCGTCTCATTGGTAATTAATGCGGGTAATGTTAAAATTGATACGCTTAAAAAACCTGATTTTGAAGACTGTTTTCAGAAGTGGGTCAAAAAGATTATGAATAAATACAAAAAGATTTGTTTTACTTTTTTTTTTGGTCAACTACCCGAACTTTTGTTAATCCCCTCATATTTATATAATATTATGGTTGGATATTTGGAACTCAGTATAATTATGGGCACGTAGACCTGTCTGAAACGATGGACGTAAAAATAGAGATCTCCTTTTTCGTTATTTTACTATGTTTATGGTTTTCAAGACAAGTGATATCAATTCTTGCCCATAGACCAGAAAAATCATACTCCCAAAAAGACAACACTTTTAAGGTCTTACCCTTCAGTAGTAGAAGTGTAGAGTATATGGTGAAAATTTGTAGAAGTTCGAGGTTCTTTTCTCTAGGGGCTTTCGATAGATGCAGGTCTTTAACAAAATGCGAAAGATATCCACCACCGACAGGTGCCAAAGCAATCTTCTTTAATAATAAAAAATCGACACAATTAGTCATTATGCATCGTATTTCCTTCTCGCGTGGTTTTATGAAAGCCCACTTGTATAATTCAAACATCCAGCACCTAAACAGATCTGACGCCCAATAATCTCCGATTGGCTGAGGCAAAGGTAAGTGAATGTGCACATAAGTAAATCACCATGCTAAAGAACTTGCCACATCCCTATCATGCTGAATAAGGCTTTTAAAATATGTATTAGATTAAAAATATGCTTGGAGCTTTTGGTATTCTCTGCAGAGAGCAGACGGCTTCATTAAATTTCTCTCTACTGTGAATCGAAATTCATGACCCTGAGGTCGACTTAAGCGTGAAATCGGCAAGTAAAAGAAGAATCTTGCTTTATGGTAAATCTCAAAGAGGCTCGGCGGCAACGCAAAGGGCAGAAACAAATGGCATAATTTTCAAACGTATTGTATATGCCGGTAGTAAAAGTAAAAAATGAACTTTACGACAGTTGTAATCAATCATACAAATACAGGTAAAGACAAATTTGCAGGGGTGAAAATTAGAGTACATACGAATGAAGAAAATTTGTGGTGTGCTTAGAATAAAAATCAATATTTAACGTGGTGACAAAGTATTTTAAACATTAAGCGGCCACTTACAGTGTATGGTACATGGATATACATTAAACAAATCGAACTGAAGCTTTAATATACGTACAAGTACGAGTATATCATATATATCAATATATATAAGGAGCTAGTAAAGCAAAAGAAAACAATTAAGTAGGTAAGATGTAAACCAAAGATGCTCCACTAACGATTCGACCTTATTTCGTTTATTAATATGAAAAATAAACTTAATGAAATGATTTTTTTCGCTTCGGTGCCATGTTAACGGAACGAAAAGAAACAGCTAAAGCTGAAAGAGAACAAGCTCAGCGTTAACATTAATTTTAAAAAATATGCTTCCTATGATTTTAACAGTACACTTCAATTTTAAAGTTTGACATTATCAGTTAGCGATTTCGATTTTCGTTTCGGGTATAAACGAAATAACATTTATTTTGATAACTACCTTAGCAATAACATATCAAAATGTTTCAACCGAAACGATAAAAATTTTTCGATTAACATTTAATGTGTCGATACGATGCAGACCTAATATAAACACGTAATTCACCTATCACAGGAATGCACTTAGAGTTTGCCCAAAGATTGGGATAGTATTGCCCAAAAAAGTAAAAAAAATAAGTTAGCTTATATTAGACAATAGTGAATTGTCATGCACACAAATGCACTTATTGTAAACAGTAATAGGTTAATATTTTTCCGATTTAAAACAAATTGTTTTTACATTACTTGACATATTTCTATTAGTTTAACAGCTTTTTAACATAAATTTAAATCCTGTATTCGATATCGACATACTTGCGTAGTTAAACCATTTGTCCGGATATTGTCGCACCTTAAATTTTAAAACCTTCTATTTCTTTGTTATGCATACACGTATACTTGAGAGTACATTCAATAAGCTAAAGCCTAAAATTATGCAAGGAATATCAAATACACATTGCAAGTTGATTAAGCAGACCCATAAGTGTAACGACAAATACAATAAGATGAGAGCAAAGCCACAGGTTGCTGAAGAGCAAGTGTTCAATAAAGAGTAAATTGATTTCGAAACTCGATTATTTACTGGGTAAAGATACAATAAAAAAAAGGTAAAATAATTTTTTTTATTTATTAGAATCAAAAAAAAAAATATTTTTTGTATTTTTGAATTAATTGCACATTTTATGTTAAATGTGAATGATTGATGACGTAAGATTCATTTAGTAGCGATTACGTTTTTTAGATTATATTGATCCATGACTGTTCAAAAGAAAAGGTGAATTTCAAATTTTCGCGGGTGCGTATATTTGATTAACGAATTTATTTATATTAGGTTGTCCAATATCTCCTTTCCGCTTTTTTGTCTTTTGAATTTCGCGGCTATGTACAAAGCGCTACAGAGCTCATATCTGGCAATACTATACATAATTTGAAAGGTCTTAACATAACCTACAAAACAACGCTATGCATGATTAGTTTGGATATTGCGTTCAACAGTTATAGACGTGTAAACATGGAGTTTACTAACGCCGAAATTCGCGCTATTTTAAAGTTTTCCTTCGTTAAAGGCAAATCCGCTAGAGAAACGTTCCGTGAGATTAATGGTGTTTTGGGGGATGGAGGAATGGTTTCGACGATTCAGAGCCGGTGAAAACGACACCATGGATAAGCCAGCCGGCGGAAGACCTGTGACGACAAATACCGATCAAATCATGGAATACATCGAGTTAGACCGGCATATGGGCATATGGCATCTCGTGACATCGCCCAGGAGATGGGAGTTAGTCACCAAACCATTTTGAACCATCTGCAGAAGGCTGGATACAAAAAAAGTTTGATGCTTGGGTGCCGCATAATTTGACGCAAAAAAACCTTCTGGGCCGAATCAACGCCTGCGATATGCTGCTGAAACGGAACGAACTCGACCCATTCTTGAAGCGGATGGTGACTGGCGACGAAAAATGGATCACATACGACAATATCAAGCGAGAACGGTCGTGGTAGAAGGCCGGTGAATCGTCCCAAACAGTGGCCAAGCCGGGATTGACGGCCAGGAAGGTTTTGCTGTGTGTTTGGTGGGATTGGAAGGGAATCAGCCACTATGAGCTGCTCCCATATGGCTAGACGCTTAATTCTACCATCTACTGCGAACAACTGGACCGCTTGAAGCAGGCGATCGACCAGAAACGTCCAGAATTGGCCAACAGGAAGGGTGTAGTGTTCCACCAGGACAACGCCAGACCACACACTTCGTTGATGACTCGTCAAAAGGTACGGGAGCTCGGATGGGAGGTTTTATCGCATCCACCATATAGCCCGGACGTAGCGCCAAGTGATTCCCACCTGTTCCTGTCCATGGCGAATGCCCTTGGTGGTGTGAAGTTGAACTCAAAATAGGCTTGTGTAAAGTGGCTGTCCGAATTCTTCGCAAATAAGGAGGGGGGCTTCTACGAGGAAGGTATTATGAAGTTGCCGTCTAGATGGAAACAGATCATCGAACAAAACGGCGCATATTTTAACTAAATCCGATCACTGTAGCACTTTTTATAAAGCACTGAGCAAAAAAGCGGAAGCCGGTACACATATGTTGGGATTAAAAAGCCGATTTGTATAAAAACTTTGTTATTAACAACTGAATAGGTTAATCAAGTTTTTGTGTGCCCTTCAATTTTTGACTTTTGGAAAGAATTAAATTTCGCGTTTAAAATGTAATAAAGTGTTCTAAGGCATTTAAAATTTTGACCGTTAAAATCGGCAAGCCTACTTTGCCTCAAGAGTACAACAAGTACTTTACAGAAGGCGAAAATAAACCATTCTTATGTTGATGACGAAGATCTTGGAACTGAACCACAAAAACAAGCAACGAAAATACCGAAACAGTTAAAAAAATTGCATCGAATATATTCAATCCTGGAGCGCTCTCATACATTCAGACGACTGACTAGGTTCAGTTGTTGCTGTCTGTTTATTCGACATCCTCCAGGCTTCTGCACCATATACATATATTTATTTGATTGCGGCGAATTCAATTTGTATTAAATTAAATTAAAGCTAATGTTTTTATAATCGGAATTTGAAGAACAAAAAATACAAAAAAAATATTTCACTCCAAATCTGGGGATTTAAATTACGACATACATATTTTAATTATAATTCTAAGTGGTCGTTACCCCACATTCTTGTCGTCTAGCTTCATTGACATTTTCTAGCTAAAACAAGTAAATGGTCTGTTTCGGTAGATTTTTATCGAAGGAACCTCACTGT